GATCGAGTTGTGTAGTCCATATGTTTTTGCAGTGTAAGAGTTGCAGATTGCAGGATAGTTTTTTTCTGAAACCAAATTGTTTATTAGAGAATAGGTTGTTTGTCTTTAAGTGGAGGATAATGGATTGGTTAATAATTGATTTCATGACTTTACAGGTGACGCAACATAAAGAGATTGGTCTGTAGTTTTCAACTAGGCTGGGGTCTCCCTTTTTGAAGATGGGGATGACAGTGGCTTGTGACCATAGTTTTGGCAAGGAGCTGGTCCTGAAAGATTTTTCAAAGTTTATGCTTAGAGGTTCGGCTATGGCAGTGGATAGCTGTTGACGTGTTTCCCATTAGGAGAATGAGTGCACTCAGGGAAACATAGTGAGAGTGATGTTGAATAACACACCACCAGCATACAGATACACTGAATAGTAAAATTTAGGTTTTACTTCCAGTAAACAGGTAAACGAAGTCCAACAAACAGTTTACACCAAGATGCAGTACCCTAAAGGAAGATAACAATGTTAAACTCAAACAGCAGATTGCGACAGACTTGATGAAATGGGAAAAATTGCAACTATCATTGATTGGGAGAATATTCACAATTAAGATGAATATACTGCCTAGGATTTTATATTTATTCCAGACAATTCCTATTGGATTAGGGAAAGAGTTTTTTTGAAGATTTAAATAGAATTGTGTTGAAATATATTTGGCAGGGTAAAAAAGCAAGAATAAAATTAAAGCTGTTATAAGATGCAAGAATAAGAGGAGGGTTTGCCTTGCCCAATTGGGAGCTGTATTACCAGGCGACAAGTTTGATGTGGGTAAAGGAATGGATAACACTAAGGAACAGTAGATTATTGACTTTAGAAGGCCACAACTTGCTGCTCGGATGGCATGCCTTTCTCTGGTGTAAGGGAACTAACAGGGCTATTTTAGAAAACATATTTGTGAGGCATTGTTTCTGAGCTGGGAGAAGATTAAAAGACAATATGACTTAAAAATTCCAACATGGATATCAACTATTGAAGCTTTTTCTTATCCAATAATATATAAAAAGGAACAAACAGTTAGGTATGGGGAGTTATTGAATGAAAGGAAACAATAAATTCCTCTGGGGTTCACCCCCCCCCCCAACCAGACTCAAGTAAAGCAGCCTACATCCCCATCTGGTCATCAAGAAGAAATTTACACTGAAGTTAAAGAATTCTTACCATTTTTTTTGCTTTTTTCAAGAGTGGGCAAGGAAGTCCCCCCCTCTTTTTCTCTTTAGCCTACTGTTACATCTGGGCCCTGAGTTTTCCAATACGTGTTTGCATTGATGATCTCTTTTTTGAAACCATTTTGAACAATTTAATCAATTTAATTCAAAGGTCCCAAGAGTAACTGCAACCTAACATGGGCATAGCAACAGCGTCTTCCTGATCCTCTGATGCCACCATGGCATATTTCTGCGTTCCGTCCTCAAGTCTTCAGACTATGCTATCCATATTTCTGCGTTCAGCCCTCTAGTCTTCAGACTTCACGACGCAACCCCTTCTGTTGCAAGCTCACAACTCACCCTGGGTGCTGTGCTAGCATTGCCCAGACTCTACAGTGCCACCTATGTGCTCAAGTATTAAATCCAGCAGCAATTCTACTTTTTGCTACCTGCTTGCAGTGCACCCTAATACAAAACAAGGGGGGGAATTGCATGGAAAACCACTAAATTTTTCCAACATCACCTTTTGCCAATTTGAACCATGGGAACTGCCTCAGCCATGACAGGTGTCTCTGATGTACCAGCAGACCTGAATCCTCCACCTGCCCTTGTCATAAATGTGGAACCTGGTTCCCAACAACCGCCTTTAGATGTCCAACCCTCTGGAGAAGCCACAATACTTCAGAAGACCTACGACCTCAGACAGCATAGGAAGCTTACCTCACCCATGGTGCAACACTTTAGAGAGGATTGGGAAAGGCAGTATCTCCATCATGCATCTGCATGGACAGAGCTGTTCAAGATCTGTGACACCCCCAAAAGCCAGTTGCCCCTCAAGAGAGCCTCTTCTGGATGCAGAAGGAGTTAGAGGAGCACCTCACATGATGGAGAGAAAGTGAAAATAAGCTTAAATACATACAGTCAAACCTGGAAGACCCACAGTTCCAGGAACACATCCATTGCTTCAAGGAGGAGAACAAAGAATGTGAAGACAGTGTTTGGGAAGGCAGAAACTCCCTCCAGACTGCGATCTTCAATGCAGTTCAAAAGGAACAAGGGGTGAGGGAGAAGTCCACATCCGACATAGATCTTCAACCACAAGCAGCCTCTTCCCACCACTCAAAGAAAGCCTCTTCCCTCCATCCCAAAGCTAGATCAGCTAGATCGCAGACAGGTTCTAGTGTCTTGGGCCAATTCTTTGCTGCCAGCTCTCACCATCCTTCCAGAGCATCCTCCCATCGTAGCGGTGCATCTAAAGCCTCCAAAGCAGCAAGTTATGCCAAACGGGCTGCAGAAGCCAAAGTAAAAGCTGCAGATGCAGAGCTACACGCCACAGAAGAGGTAACACGGCAAAAGGCGGCAATAGCAGATCAACAGGCTGAAATAGCCAAAGCACAGGCCAAATTGGAATTGGCCGAACAGCAAAGATACACCACAACAAAGATGGCACGTGCTGCAGCATGGCGGAAGATGGCCGACAACACCTCCCTCCGATTCACCCTCAAAGAGTTGGGAGAAGAGAGCCCAGATACATGGGTCAAAGCCTACGTAGACGAGCAGCTCTCACTGGAACTGCCTCAGTTGCCTATCAGTCTCCCACAACCAGGGAAGCACAGGGATGAATCTCAGCCACAGACTCTACATGTCAGTTACACTACTGATGTATGACCTAAAATACGAGATTCACTTCCCACCAACAGCAAACCTTTCCCAACTGATGTACTTAGTAAGGTCCAAGATTCTCTTCCCAGCACCAGCAACCCTACTGCAATGTCTCACACCCTGCTGGCTGAGCAACATAGCCCACCAGTGCCTACAACGACTTCTACATGAGTTGACATGCCATCAGTGACAATTGCCACACTCAATCCACAGGAAGCAGTGTTCCTGCCACAACCTCAATACCAATCCGGCTCCCAGGCACCACAAGGTAACCGCACCCACCCTACACATCAGCATGACGCTCGACCACCATCCCCAGTATGGGAGAACATCCTCCTAAGTACTGGGAGGAAGATTACAATCCGTCGTTGACTTACAACCCAAACCCAGCCTATGAGAATCCAGGGGGAGAACCCTCTATGTCAATACCTCCCCTCAACTCAGTAAATGATGAAGATTACTGGAGAAACTTGGCTGTACAGAGTGGAAAGCTAAATTTGCATGCCAACAGAGTTCGCAGATTCTCTGACAAGCCAGGCAGCAAATATCTAGTATGGAAGAAACTTTTCCTGTGCCCCATTCAGGCGGCACACCTGAACCCTGATGAAATAATCGGACACTTGATAGCATGGCTAGCATGGCCACAGTCTGCCGACATACGGAGGGCACCTTTGGCATCCCGCTTAGATGACCTGGCCGCTGCCCTACAGTTATAATGGAAAGCAAACTGTATGGTGCTTCCGAGGATGTAGAAGCAACACTCTTGGATAGCCTCAACAATTTTCCTAAAATTCCTATTGACAAGCCTTGCCGAATTGTAGACCTCGCTAACATACTTGTCCAGCTGAGAACGGCACAACAGGATCCCAACTTACTGGCATTCGCCTGTCTCGATCACGTCGACACAGAACAAAATTGTTCGAAAACTTCCGCAGGTGCTAATTGAAAAGTGGTTCCAGTTGACTGACACCTTCATGGCCAGGGGTCACCACTGCTTTATACCCTTCACTCTTCTTGAAGAATTCATGTCCCACCAGGCGACATTGTGCAACACTCACCAGGCCCGTGGACTCAGAGCTGTTAGTCCTCCTAATGACTGAAGATACAACAGCAACCATATATTGCCCTCAGGCCCCATGCACACTACCAGGGAAATATCTTTCATGGTTGTCCATAACACCGAGATCGACTCCTCATCCACACATAGTTGGGGAGATAACTCATCAGATACAACCCAATTTAGATCTCCGAACACAAAGAGAATACAGTTTTGTTCTATGCACCACACTCATCACATGCTGAATAGCTGTACTGGGTTTGCAGCAAAATCACTGACCCAACAAAAAGAATTGCTAAGGGAGCACCAATACTGCTACAAGTGTTGCGAATCCAAACACCCATCCAAGGACTGCACAGCCAAGGTGCAATGCAATTTTTGCAATAGTGACCAAAACCCGACCATGCTGCATCCAGACTCTGAGCTGCCACTGCAGATATCTCATAACCCTCCTTCAGACAAGGATCCTCAACATAACACAGAAGCATGCAGGGCTCCTCAGCAGACTGCCAAACCACAACCACAGCCAAGGCTGAGCATCAACTGCACAGCACTGTGCACTGACTCACCACACCCTCGTTTGTGTCTTCCCATCTGCTTAGCCAAAGTGTATCCTGAAGGACACCCTGAAGATGCCATGAAAATGTATGTGCGGATAGACACTCAAAGCACCAGCACCCTGGCCAGACCCGCATTCTTTGACCTCTTTGAAATGCAACAGGACAAACTTCCCTTCACTGTATCAACATGCCATGGACCAAGAAGCACAGTGGGGAGGAGTAGCTACTCTACTCTGCATAGAGTCATTGGATGGAAGATCCTGGTTCCCACTACCACCCGTGTTTGAATGTGATGGGGTACCGAACGACCGCAGTCAGATCACAACACCTGAGGTCATAAGTAGCATGCCTCACCTTCAGCACCTAGCTCATCACTTCCCCAGTCTAGATCCAGAGGCTGATATCCTACTCTTGCTGGGAAATAATTCCCCATACCTTTCTCTTCTCCGAGTCACTCGGCGGTCCTGTAGATAGCCCAGTGGCCATCAAATCTCCACTAGGATGGGGATCAGAGGAATTGTCAGTGTCGCTCAGATGCAGGATCCAACCCAGGCAAATGCCTTAGCACCATCCATTCCAACCACCTTCCAATGCCCTTTAGCACCATCGAAAGCAAGAATGACGTTCCAGCTTAGAAGGCCACCGCTGATCAGTAAACTTTTGCTAGGACACCCTAAACAGCCACCAGCAACCACCAGACGTCTGCCAAGATGCTCTATACAGGCATATGCCTCTGCAACACCCTTTCCAACAGCTTCCTGATGCCCTTTGACACTGTGGAAGCAAGAGTACTGTTCCAACCCTAAAAGGCTACCAGAAGTGACCACCAGACTTTCACCTTTGCCACCAAGAGTACCTGTCAACCCTAAAAATCCGCCAGACGTGGCCACCAGACTTTCACCTTTGCCACCAAGAGTACACCCTAAAAGGCTGCCAGAGGTGACCAGTAGATTTTCACCAAGAGGCCGAACTTGAAGATTGAACCTCAAGCTTTGCACGCTTTGCTTTGTTTGATGCTTTATTAATGTTTACTGTTTTTCTCTTAGTTATATAACTTACTGTTTATCTTAGTTTTATAGTTATATGCTATTCAGTTAGTATTACTGTTTACAGCTTATCTTAGTTTATAGTTAATTTTTTTTCTCTTCTCTGAATAGTGGAATTTACAATTCCAGGCGGGGAGTGTGCTGTCCCAGCCAATCTATGGGAATTGGATGGTTACTTAGAAATTATGATCTGTCCCCTTAAGGGAATGCAGTTAAAGGTATCCTGGGAAATGTAGTTCATATCACGTGGCCACATCTGTAATCCTGATTGGTCACTAGTTTGACCCTTGATGGGTTGGGGGAGTTTTTCTTATTCTTTGTCTGAACTCTCTAACTCATGGCAGCTTCTTTCTATCACTACGAGATGGGTTAGGAGATAACCATTTTTTACTACAAGGCAGATATACAAAGAATTGGTCATTAAAGAAGAACTTCATCACAAACGTGAATTATGAGGATACCTTATGAACCAATAAATGTTTATTTGATATGGATATCTTATTGAGTTATCTATCTGCATCTGTACAGCTTCAAATCCACCTCTGTGCAGAAGGCAGAAAAGGGTACTTGGTTTGTTTAGCTTAGGAAAACTTGATGGACATAGACAAGGGAATGTATCTGATGCTTTTAGGAGATCAGCTACGTCTTTTGTTTAAGTTTAAGCAGGCAAGGTGGGCTTGATTGTCACATAGGTAGCATTTGATGTTATTTTCGCTTTCATTGATGGTTTTAAGACATCTGAAGCATTACAGGAGTCTGGGAGGTCATTGGTAGAGATATTATTTTTGTTGTTGTTTGGTAGTGGAGGATTTGGAGTTTCTGGAGTTTCTGGCTGGCATGGTCAATGACAATAGTACACTAAATAATTACAATAGCTAATTAATGTGATAGGTAGACAGTTACTTAATGAATGTTGGTAATTAATAAATGTTAATTGATAAGTTAGAAAACAAATCAAAAGTAAGGCTACTTATTACTAAACATCAATCAACTTATTGCTAAGAATCAATCAATCAATATAGTTAATCAATGATACAATATTAAATCTCTATCAGTTCAATGAATCAGTAAATTAGTGGTCATTTAACAATTAATTATTATAGTATTATATGATAAATCAATTATTAGAGACAGCATTATCTATAAATATTTGGTCTTGAGGTACTGAAATAGTGGAGGTAGTAAAGTATTGGAGGTTTGTTGTGTAAAGTTCCTTTGTTTTTTCTTAAAGCCATGTTTTTTTGGTTTTGTTTTGTTTTTGTTTTAAAGAGGAAGTGTTGCTGTATGATAGATTTGAATGGAGAAGATTTGAATGAGCTCACCAATCATCTACTTTGGAGTTTGGAAAGGATGAGATTTGGGTGGGGGTTTAGTGGAGGTGGTCCAATCAGCTGAATGGGAATTTAAATTCAGGCTGACTAATCAGCTGGGTGATTTAAATGGAGCTGGGTGATTCATATGGAAACTATCAATTCTCTGTGAGTCTCCTTTGTTCTCTCCAATTGGTGGCCATTTAGAATTATTTTTGGTGATTTGATTTAAATGGAGACTGTAGACATCATTCCAGTTCTTCCATCATTGGAATTCACAACCAATCTCAGTTTCAAAAGGCAGTTTTCCTGAATAAAAACCTTCTTCATACCTCCTCTTCTCATCTAGTCCTCCTTTTCTTCCTCCTTTAATCACTCTTTTCTCAAGCTGCCATTTAACTTCCAGAGTTAGAGGGTAAAAACATAAATTAAGCCACTGCCGCTTAATCTCCACACTCATCCCTTCTGCTCTGGAGTCTTCACTTTTTAAGTTGTTTCTGACTCGGGTCCACAGTAAATCTTTGTGGTGTTTACCCGCTCCTTCCTCCCACCGAAAAATGCACCGCCGATCTATAAGGAGCCGGGAGATCAGAGGTATCAGTATTACATTGTATGTAACTAGTGATTCAGATGAGTTAATTAGCCAACATGGTCATTATCATGAAAAGAGGCATGGTGGTGCAGTGATTAGAACACAGTATTGTAGACTAATTCTGCTGACTGTAAGCAGTTCAATTCTGACTGGCTCAAGGCTGACTCAGCTTTCTATCTTTCTGAGGTCAGTAAAATTAGGACCCAGATTGTTCGGGTCAATATGCTAACTTTGTAAACTGCTTAGAGAGGGCTGTAAAGCACTATGAAACAGTATATAAGTCTAAGTGCTATTGCTAAGTGCTAATATCATCACCTTTTCTGTTGTGACACCTACCCTCTGCAATGAAGTCACTTCTGAGATCCAGGTAGCTCTTTGAAAGGTCTTAAAAACCCGTCCTTCAGATGTTAGGCTAGGTTGTCTGGAGCTTGTTACCTGACCGATGCTGATAGGTTCGTGTTGTTGTTTGTATTTCCCATTTTATTCTTTTATTGTCTAGTTTGTTTGTTCTATACAATCTTGTTCTTATTTATTTTAAAAAGTTCTTTTCATTGTATTGTGAGTTGAGTGGCCATATTTCCTAGACAAATCACAGACAACAATGATCTAATACATATTGATTTTACAGAAGACAATGTTGAAAAAGCACTACGCAATCTAAAACCATCTCTATCTATTGGACCGGATGGAATATGTGCCTACTTCTTAAAAAAGCTATCCACTGCCATAGCTGAACCTCTAAGCATAATCTTTGAAAAATCTTTCAGGACCAGCTCCTTGCCAAAACTATGGTCACAAGCCACGGTCATCGCCATCTTCAAAAAGGGAGACCCCAACCTAGTTGAAAATTACAGACCAATCTCTTATGCTGCATCACCTGAAAAGTCATGAAATCAATTATTAACCAATCCATTATCCTCCACTTAGAGACAACCAACTACTCTACAATAAACAATTTGGTTTCAGGAAAAAACTATCCTGTAATCTGCAACTCTTACACTGCAAAAACATATGGACTACACAACTCTATCAGGACAAAGCAATAGATGCAATCTACATAGACTTCTGTAAAGCCTTTGATTCAGTGGTACACGACAAACTACTCCTAAAACTAAAATCTTATAGTATCTCTGGACAACTGCATAAATGGATAGAAGCATTCCTGTCAAACAGACAACAAATGGTCAAATTGGGAGTGTCCTATCAAATTCTGCACCTGTCAATAGTCGTGTCCCCCAAGACAGTGTTCTAAGACCAACTTTCTTCATACTCTACATAAATGACCTCTGTGATCATATTAAGAGCAACTGCGTACTTTTCGCTGATGAAGTAAAGCTGTTCAATACCACAGACAATACTGCTACCCTTCAAAAAGATCTTGAGTATGTATCAGAATGGTCAAACCAATGGCAACTTCAAATCTCAACAAAGAAATGCTCTGTCTTACATATTGGCAAAAAAAAATCTGAAAATAAAATACAAGCTGAATAGTCAAGATCTTGTTGATGATCCAAGCTCTGTAAAGGACCTTGGAATACTCATTTCTAATAATCTAAGTGCTAGAGCCCACTGTAACTGCATAGCCAAAAAGGCATTAAGAGTTGTTAACCTAATCTTATGTAGCTTTTTCTCTGGTAATATCACACTACTAACTAGAGCATACAAAACTTTTGCTAGACCAATACTCGAATACAGCTCATCAGTCTGGAACCCACATTACGTATCTGATATTAGCACAGTTGAGAAAGTCCAGAAATATTTCACAAGAAGAGTTCTCCACTCCTCTACTCATTGTAGAATCCTTTATGCCACCAGACTTGAAAATCTAGACCTAAAAAAACTTGAATTACGCTGTCTTCGGTCTGATCTAAGTAGGGTATATAAAATCATACATTGCAATGTCCTACTTGTCAATGAATACTTCAGCTTCAACCACAACAACACAAGAGCACACAATAGATATAAACTCAAGGTTAACCGCACCAAACTTGATTGCAGGAAATACGACTTCAGCAACAGAGTGGTCAATATCTGGAATACTCTACCTGACTCTGTAGTTTCTTCCCCAAACCCCAAAAACGTTAACCTTAAACTGTCTACTAATGAGCTCACCCTTTCTTAAGAGGTCTGTAGGGGGCGTGCATAAGCGCACCTACATGCCTACCATCCCTGTCCTATTGTTTCTTTTATTTTTCTTCTATGTACCCATTTCATGTATTCATAACTATGTATATACTTATACCTATTATCTTGTAAGCAATTGACAAATTAAATAAATAAATAAATATTGAATAAAACAAATAAATGTTTTATAATAAAACAATAAAATATACGTGTGTGTTTGGGTATGGATATATCTTTTGATAACAGGCAACATCATTTCATTTTTAATGTGTACCATTGACAAAATGGTAAGTAAAGGTCATGTTATCTTAAATATATCCAACTAAAACAGCATTTGGACAATTTAATGTCTAGAATATGCATTTTTATTTTTCTTTAAATTATCAGACAGTAAATTATAGGTGGTCCTCAACTTTCAATCACAATTGGGACCAGAATTTCTGTCTCTAATCATGGTGGTTATTAAGTGAGTCACACCCAATTTTATTACTTCTTTTGCCATGGTTATTAAGTGAGCCACTGCAACTGTTAAGTGAATCCCATGGTCATTAGGCAATTCTAGATTTTATATACAGTTTTTATGTTTTAATATTTTACACTTATACCGTCCTCAGATCCCCTATGTGGAAGAGGGACAGTTTTCAAATTTAATAAGCAAAAGTAAATATGGATTTCCCCATTGACTTTTTGTTGGAAGCCAGTTGGGAGGATCACAAATGGAAACCGCATGATTTTTGGGTGCTGCAATTGTTATAATATGAATTATAATATATGCCAGTTGCAACCTCCTGGATTTTGATCACATGACTGTGGAGACACTGCAATGGTTGGATGTGAGGATACATCACTTTTCTCAGTGCTGTTGTAATTTTGAACAGTCGCTAAAGTAATGGTTTTAAATTGAGGTTTATCTATATATTAATTGTGTTTGCATATGATTAAGCATTTAAGAATGGCCCTGCTGGATCAGGCAAAGGGGCAATCCAGCCCAATTATCTTCATCACATCTAGTCAGATTTTGGAAAGCGACATAAGAATGACAGGCCCATTCTACTATCGTTACCTTACAGCTGGCACTGAAGGCAAACTGTTTCTGTTTCAGGAGAACTATATCTCTACTACAATCTGATCCTTTACAGCAGAGGTTTCAAACCCAAGGCCCGTGGGCCAGATCCGATCCATGGGGTGCTTAGATCTGGCCCGTGAGGCCGCCCTGAAAACAGCAAAGGATTGGCCTGTGGGGCCTCTGCCAGCAAAAATAGAGCTTGGGAGTGGCAAGCGTGACCCAACTGAACTCCATTTTCAGTTGCCACAGCAGCGGCAACAGATGTGATGATGACAGTCTCCTGCAATCCTCTGCCAACGAAAACGGAGCTCAGGAAATATGTGTGATGGGCCTCCTGAGCTCCATTTTCCCTGGCAGAGCACTTGGGCCACCACAGGTGCCCCTGACATGAGTGACATCAACCTGGCCATATCCACCCTGGCTATGCTCCCTGCTGCCCTCAAGATCAAATACAACCCTGATGTGGCCCTCAATGAAATTGAGTTTGACACCCCAGCTTTACAGGTTTGTTTAGGTCTCTTTTTCAGCCATCTAAACTGAGTGTCATGATCACATCTGATGACACCAAACGCTACCAGAAAGATTTCCCCCCAAGAGAGCTGAGGTTAAGTCCAACTGCACAACTAAACTACTGCAGCAAAAAGATTTGTAGTTAATATCTTGCAACTTGAATTGGCATGGTACTTAACAAGAGCAATAATAAACACCAGATAGGTGCCTACCTCTAGATATTTACAATTTATGCAAAATGGAACACAGAAAAGGAGAAGCGAAGAATCACAGAAATATATGAGTTTTGGAGGGTTGGTTTTTTTTTGGTAAGGACTTAATAAGTTAGTAACGAAACGATTTTTGCAGAAAAAAAATGGCACTGAGGAAGAATAGGAAGGAAGATGAATGCTTAGGTAATAGGCCTCACTTCTAAAAAAAATGAATGCTTTCAGGATACTTGCATTGAAATGGCAGAGTCAAAGCTATAATAAAAGTTCACTTGTTTTGGACCAAAACAAAACATAAAACAAAGACTCCCCCTCTCATAACTATGTGGGGTGCTTAGTTTATGTAAATGTGCATAACATATTTTGCATAGTGCATTGTTTCCATGCTGTTCATGAGATTGGACAGTGGCCTCTGTGGAACATAAACATCCTGTCCCTGTTAGAAGCTTCATCCAACCTTACTTCTCTCTTTAGAAATATCTGCATTGCTGCACATTTCTTTCAATAAGGACAGGAAGCTGCTTTCTTAACAAGCTGAAATACCCAAGAAGACTGGTTCTACATCTAATGCAAACCATTTTTGAATAATTCAACACTGTGTATGTTTCAACACCAAGATAGGCTATGAACCAAGATTTTTTAAAAATGCAATGCTGAATTTACTTACATATGTAGCTACAAATACTGACTTCCTTCTGGGATGATTCCAGTCAATGTTGGAAATGGATTGAGGTGTAATCTTGCTTTGCTGGGGTCCTCGGGACTGCATAATCTCTCCACTGTTGCTTAATATTTAAAAAGGTAAAAGTAAAGGTTTCTCTTGTCTAGTCAAGTCTGACTATAGGGAGTGATGCTCATCTTTATTTCTTAGCCAAGAAAGCCACATTGTCCACTTCCATTATCATGTGGCCAGCAGGACCATATACTGAGATACCTGGAACACTCTTCTTGTTATGTTGTGGGAAGGATGACTCGAGACCAGTTAATCTTTAGTTGCTTTTAATTTTCTCTCTAGAACTGAACAACAACGGAGCCGCAGCAGCCTCTTTTATAGCGGCTGCTCGCGGCTCATGGCCAATAACGGCTATTCAAGTTCCTTGCCGTCCGGCCAGACCAATCAAAATGGAACATTCAAATATTCAAATATACAACACCCCTCCCTATGTGGTCCAGTCCCACCAATCAGGTCATCCCTATGTTACGTAGTCACGTAAATAGGTGGGGCTTTTATGGTTTCTACTGGACCTGCGCAATTCAGCCGTGGTGTTGTCTTCAGACTGTTTGGACGGGTTCGCTGTTCCTCCTGTCCTCTTCTGTGGAACCTCCTGAAAGGTGGAGTCAGCCATGCCGCTCCCACCTGGCCTTTCTGGGCTGGTTGAGTTGGCTCGGCTGCTCCTGCCAAGAGGGGCTTCGTGATGGTTTTCCAATGCCTGCTGCAGTCTTCCGAAGTTTTCTTCTTCTCCAGGTACGTGATTTCGATTTCCCCTCAGGGCTAATGGTGGTATTGGTTGTTGTGTTGTTGTTAAGGTTTGTTTTGTTATTTCTCATGCTTGTGGAGGGTCTACCCCTCCCCTCTCATTTGTGTTTGAGGGGTCTCCCCCCCTCTCTGGTTTGGTTATTATTTTGGTTTAATGTTTGACTTGGTTCCTGTGTTTGTGTGGGCTCTTCTCCTTCTTCCCTTTGATTGCTAGTGTTTCTCAACAGGGCCCTTGATCTGAGTTGGTCTATATGTCTCCTCCAGCTCTTTCCGTCCTCTGTCTCTACTCTATATGACCGGGCTCCTGTTACTTGGATTATTTTAGCTGGTATCCATAATGGCTCCCCCGTTAGGTTTTTTGCATAGACCAGGTCCCCTGTTTTAAATGTACGACACTTACTGGAGGAGTCTGTTGGCTTTTCTGTGCTATATGTGGGGTGTAGTCTATCTAGACTAGATCTCAGTTTTCTTCCCATTAATAATTCTGCTGGGCTTTTATTAGTTGTGGTGTTTGGCACAATGTGCTGTATCATTAACAATTTATATATTTTTTCCTGGATATCTCCAGATTCTAGCTTGTATAGTGTTTTCTTAGTATAACGGACTGTGCGTTCTGCGCGTCCTTTTGTAGCCGGCTGACCCAGCGCTGTTAAAGCGTGTCTTATGCCTTGTTCAGCCAGGAACCTCTCAAATGTTAGTGCAGTGAATTGTGGTCCGTTATCAGATACAACTAAATCCGGCAATCCATGCATTGCAAAAAGCTTTCTTAGTTGTCTAATAACAGCTTCTGTTGTGGTTGAGTGCATAATGCTTACCTCTAGCCAATTTGAGTAGGCGTCTACCACTATTAAGAATGTGTGTCCTTTAGTTGGTCCAGCAAAATCAATGTGTATTCTAGACCATGGGCCCCTAGGTGTTTCCCAGTCAAGTGTAGGTGCAGAAGGGGGTGCAGGTCTAGATTCTTGGTATTGTTTGCACATTGCTACCCATTTCCCTATATCTGTATCCATCCCTGGCCACCATACATAACTCCTGGCCAGGGACTTCATTCGGACAATACACGGGTGACCGTCATGCAATAATTTAAGTATTTGTTCCCTCAATATGTCCAGTATGATCACTCTATCCCCCCATAAGACACATCCTTTTAAAATAGATAGTTCAGTTTGTCTATGCCAAAATGGTTTAACAGTCTCATCACTTTTGGTCTCTGGCCACCCTTTAACTACCCAATTTAAAATCCGCACCAGGTTTCTGTCTCTTGCAGTTTCCTCCGCAATGTCTGTTGCTGTTATGGGTAGGTTTGCCAGCGTCTTGATGTGCAGGGTTGATATGGTTGGTGCTGGATCATCATCTAACTCAGGTAGTGGAGAATGGCTCAGGGCGTCAGCGTGTGTTATGTTCTTTCCAGGCCAGTAGATTAATTCGTAGTTGTATGCAGCAAGGAATTCGGACCACCTCATCATCTGCGGTGACAATATGTTGGGTGTAGGTTTGTTTCCTGTGAGTATTCCTAAAAGAGGTTTATGATCTGTGACCAGTGAAAATTTCCTGCCATTGATATACTCGTGGAACCTTTTAACTCCTGTTATTGCGACCGATGCTTCTCTATCCAATTGGCTGTAGTTCCGCTCCGCTTTTGATAGAGTTTTTGAATAGAATGCGATCGGTGCTTCTCTTCCATCAGGTAATATGTGGCTGAGTATAGTCCCAACGCTGAACGGCAACGCATCGCAGGTTAACGTTAGTGGCAGGGTTTTGCTGTATTGGATTAGTACACAGTCTGATGTAATTAAGTCTTTGATTCCCTGGAATACAGTTTCTTCTTGTCGCCCTTAGGTCCAGGTAGCTTTCTTATCCAGCAACCTGTGTAGCGGTTCTGCTATCGTTGCCTTCTGCAGCAAAAATACATTGTAAAAATTAATAAGTCCCCAAAAGGCTTGTAAATCTGTTTTATTTTCGGGTCTGGGAGCTTCCTTTATTGCTCTGATTTTGTTTTCAGTGGGGTGGATCCCTTCTTTGTCTATGAGGTATCCCAGGAATTCAACCTTATCGGTGGCTAAATGGCACTTCTCTTTTTTAACTTTAAGTTCCGCTAACTCCAAATTGCAGTCTGTTGCATTTGAATGCCGCCCTGTGAGTCACAATTGTTTGTGCTTCTGTGGTTTCTGAGTCAACTGGCAACTGTTGATAAGCTTGCGCAAGGTCTAATTTTGTGGAAATTCTACCTCCCCTCAAAGAGTGTAACAGGTGCTGTACCACTGGAACTGGGTATGCACTTTGTTGTAGTGCATGGTTGAGGGCGGCCTTGTAGTCTCCGCAGATGCATACGGACCCATCTGGTTTGATAGGAGTCACAACTGGGGTTTCCCATCTTGCGTGGTCTATTGGTTCTAATACCCCCTGTGCGATAAGTTTATCTAATTGTTCATCAATTTTTGGTTTTAACACGAAAGGAACTCACCTCACCTTTAACCTTATTGGGGCTATCTTAGGATCCAAATTAAATGAGATAGGGGACCCTCGGTACATGCCCAATTCTCCATTGAAGACGTCCTGGAATTCTCTCATCAGGTTCTCTTCCTAGTCTGTCTCAGTGATGTTGTTTATTCGGGTCACTCCGATTCCTAGCGGTTCGAACCATTTGAGTACCAGTAGGCTGGGGCGATCCCAGTTGACTATGGTCAGTGGAAGGACTTTCGTGTATTTTTTAAATTTGATTTGGAAATGTCCAGTTCTGACTATGGGAATTCTGTTTCCCTGGTAGTCTTTAAGTGTGAGTTTTTGTTTTTCTAGTTCCTTTCTTTTCATGTCAGGTATCAGGCTTTTAAGAGTGTTCCATGATACCATTGATAGATACGAGCCGGAATCCACCTCCATCTCACGTGGTTGGCCTTCTATGGTGACTTGTACCAGTACCTTCTTCGCATTGACTGCGCTCGAGTGTCCAATAGTTATTGTCTGGTGTGTTTCTTCTTTTCTATTGGCTTCTTTCCACCGCTTCTTTCTGCTTTCTTGGCTCCAACGGCCCCCTGTCTTGGGGGGGGGGGGTTCCTCTTCATCTAGGACTATAGTTATTTCTGTTTTGGCATGCCCTAGCTATGTGTCCCCGCTGTTCACAATGCCTGCAAATAGCATCGAAGAAATGGCATTCGGAACGTGGGTGGTCCCCTCCGTAACCCGGCACAACGAAATCCCAACTTTCTTTCCCTTCACTCCCGTCTGCCTTTCTCCGACCAAAGTTGATTTACTTCTTCTTCCTCATCGGTTTCAGATAGGGATTCGATGTCCTCATGGTGTGTTGTGGTGGTGGGTTTTTGAGTTTCCTCTTGCTTCTTGTTTTGAGCTTGGTTAGTGTCTTTCAGGGTTTCCTGTGTTACTTTATTCATCTGTTGCATGGTGGCTGCTGATTTCTGTGCTGCTTCCACTGAGGTGGCTTCTTCTATGTCCTCAGTCAATGTTATTTGGGGTCTGGTCAGTAGTCGGCTCTGTAGTGTAAGGTCTCTTAATCCGAGGACCACGCGGTCCCTCATAGCCTCATCCATGTTTAGGAATTTGCACGCTCCTCCAATGTCTCTTAGGGCTGCAACAAAATCTCCGATGCTTTCATCTTCCTTTTGGTCGTGCTTGTAAAATTCATGTCTCTTGATAAGGCATGAGATGGTTGGTGTATAATGGGCTCGCAGTAACTTGTCTAAGTCTGACCACGCCATTTTCTTTACATCGTGGGGGTGACGCCAATGCCTTTGCCATTTTGAAGACTGTGGGCCCACAGTGGTTGAGGAAAATGGCTCTCTTCCTATTTTCGGATATTCCTTGGAGTTCGTTCCCTTCTAGAAACATGAGGAATCGGTCAATGTATGATTCCCAGTCTTCCGTTGCTGGGTTGAATGGTGCGGGTGGTGAGTTGTTGCCGGTCATCTCGTCTAGCTCAGTTCTCGTTGCCTCGTGCTCAACTGGTCTTCTTTGTCTCAGTATCCCATCCTCATCGCCAGTGTTATGTTGTGAGAAAGACAACTCAAGACCAGTTAATCTTTAGTTGCTTTTGATTTTCTTTCTGGAACTGAACAACAACGGAGCCGCAGCAGCCTCTTTTATAGCGGCTGCTCGCGGCTCTCGCCCAATGACAGCTATTCAAGTTTCCCGCTGTCCAGCCGGACCAATCAGAATGGGACATTCAAATATTCAAATATACAACACTTCTCTTTCCACCAAAATGGTACTCCTTGTGGGTCCTTGATTAGGGTATTAAGCTATTCCTTATTAAATTGTAATGAACGTGATGGCTCATGGCTAAGATGCCAAGCTTGTCAATCAGAAAAATCAGCAGTTCAGTGGTTCAAATCTCTAGTGCTCCGTAATGGAGTGAGCTCTCATTACTTGTCCCAACTTCTGCCAACTAGTAGCAGTTTGAAAGCATGTAAAAATTCAAGTAGAAAAATAGGGGCCATTTTGGTGGGAAGATAACAGCGTTCTGTGCGCCTTTGGCATTTAGTCATGCCGGCCACATGACCACAGAGATGGTCTTCAGACAGCACTGGCTCTTCAGCTTTGTAACGGAGATGGGCACTGCCCCCTAGAGCCAGAAATGACTAGCATATATGTGTGTGTGGAACCTTTACTTTTATCTATTCAATTGTACTTCTCTATTGCAGTCCAGAAGGATACTATGAACAACAGTATCAAAAGCTCCTGGGAGATACTCTAATCAAGGAATATCTTAATACCCTAACCAAGGAGCTACAGCATTAACCTAGACAAACAAATAAACAGTAAACAGCAGCCTAAAGAGAAAAAAATACCACCTCACTGTTGCTGATAGGGCAAGCTACTGTATATACATAGAAAACAAATCCCACTCATTTTTAGCATTAAAGGTGTTACCTGGGGTAATGAAATGTCTACAAGAAAACAACTAAGCTCAAAGAAGGCCAACATGGGTTAGTCACTCCTCTTTCTATATATAGGACATAAGTCTGTCTTCACTAAGATTGACTGATTTGACTGTACATGTTCCTCAGATCTCAGATAACAAAACATATTTTTTTTCCTGATGGGCCAATAAAATAGCTGTTCAATCCCAGAGATCTGGTATCATAATTTTATGTTCTTCTTGAATTTGTTTAGCATCTTAGTATTGACTGTAGCATCCCACAGAGCAATCCAAGGAATTCCCTGTTTTGCTGTGAAAAACTAATTATATATAATGCCTTCTTATAACCAACAATAAACTGGATCCATCACTAAGTGATGCATGTTTTTACAAATGTCAGGCAAAAGAAATCAGGAACCAGAGCTGTTCAACAGAGTACAAGTTTATTCCATCCTATCTCTCTGCAAGAGTCTGAACTATTAATGGCCAAGGCAAATTGGCTGTAGATAAGGGTCAATGGAATTCAAGGAGGGCTGGACTTAGATCTCTTGTGGATGTGAAAGGATTAAAGACTGAATGCAAAGCTTGACCCCTCCCTCCAGCTTAGCTTGGTCATCTCCTACAATAGGTATAGGACTACTTGCTATCCAGAAGAATTGATAACAGCATTCTAACCATGGAAATATATTTGTTAGTATATGTTTACATTTACACTGCAATATATATTTATACTGTGAGATAATCAGAAACAACATAAAAGCATTAGCAATAAGTATTAAAAAAAAGATACAACAGGTTCAAAACTAAATTGCTTTTAAAGTTTTTATTCATTTCTCTACTCCTTTTGCTTTTTCATTCTCTTCTTTCCATTTTTATCTAATGTATAAATGCACAAAGATTAGTTTTTTAGATACAGAATTATATAAATTCTAGAATCCTTCCCTCATCACTGAAATGTAACTTTCTCATAAAATATAAAACTCTTGTGTGAAAATGGTTTTGCATTCTTTACAAATATTCAAGTCACTGATTACATTTTAAAATTTGCAGTATCCTTTGCCAAGTTTTCTCTCATTTTCTCTGACTCTGAAGGGAACAAGTCCAACATAATTTAATGAAATGTCTTCCTAAATGGGATATTTGCTTTTTCATTTGTTATTATAGCAACCTAGCAAGTCGAAATAGTTTACAAGCTAACTACCTATCATGTCACAGTAAATTATTAATTTAAGATTGCCTCTATTAGGAAAAAAAAATAGCCCTAAGCAGTTGTCAGTTGAAGCACTGGTGGTAAATTTCCAGTCTGCAGGGGTGTATTGAAACACAGATTTTGGCTAAACAACTACATCCCACTTTCAAACAATCACCATCTGTAGGAACTTCTGCCCGGCTTCTTTGAAACAGCCAAGTTAAAACTAGAATGTTTATTTATTTATTTATTTATTTATTTATTTATTTAGTCAAGAGATTATAAGGTAACAGGCATAAATATGAACATAGTTATGAATACATGAAATGGATACATATAAGAAAAAAAACCCAACAGGACAGGCATGCTTATGCATGCTCTCTACAGACCTCTTAGGAAAGAGG